AGCTATTAAAAAAATATTTTAAATACTCAGGTTTTTAACATTTCCAAAAACTCACCGGTTGCCTCACACGGCAGAGCCAATTCTTCCAAAACAGAGCCTTGAACTGGTGCACAGCATGCCCCATATCGTCTTTTTCCTTCATCCACTTGCCGAGTGGCTTCTTAAGGACTTTCTAACTCCGAATCATCTCACCAAGCAGTCTGAACGTATTATTCAGCAGCTGACTGATTCCAGCACCAGAGGACGGTGCAAGAGATTTGCCTGCTTGCTGAGAAAAGATGAGATTATATTTCTGCTTCTTGTTTTGCATCCATTGAGGAATCTCATCTTTCCATCTGCTTCTCAGTGCAATGAACAGTAAGGGGATGGGTTTGCACAAATGCCCTCAGGGTGCTTTACTCCACAGTGTGTATTCTGCACTTGTTTCTACTTTTCTGGAATAAAAATGAATGCAAACAACAGGAAAAAAAGAATATGTAACATGCATGTGTGTTTCTCCAGAGTTTGGTGACTCTCTGTCACTGCAATGTTAATGTCATTTTGCATGCATATGCTTAGATTTTTGAAAGAATAGTAGGGAAATAAGTACACTGTTTAACCACGTAGCCCTATAAATGTCTGTACACTTCTAGAACACCCTTATAAGTACACATCTAGCACTGTGGTGATCCCGTTGCATCCTCATATGACTTGAATTTTATCTCATAAAGGGTATTTGACTTTTCATTCTCCTTTTCCAGTACGCTTCACCTACGTAAAGGTGGAATATTCCAACCAGTCAGAAAACTGTGTTAACTAATTGTCACACGCCACCCAGGATGAAAATCAGTCTTCCAGAATTTCTTTCAGGAAAGAGGAGGGAGGGCAGTTCCTGGTGCTCCGCGGAGGGACCTGCAGTCGGGGAGCCTCCCATACCTGCGGCAGCAGGGCAGACACAGCACGTGTCGAGCGGTGCCAAGCTGTGTTCTTTCACTGAGGGGCGAGGATGGATGCCCTACTGCTTGGGAATGCCACCTTAAGCAAAGGAGTAAATTTTCTGTATGTTTTGTTCGACCCAAATTAATTGCGTAAGACAGACTCTTATCCCCAAAAGCTCTCTCTATGGTCAATGGAGATACAGAATGCAGCCATTATAGAAGGTGATTCAAACCACCTATAATCAGAATCATGAATCACACAGACACACACATTAGGACAGTGTGATGCCTGAACAAATTTCTTTATTTCTCATTGTTGCTGAGTAAACTGAGTCATTACATTTTCTGCAAAATGTATTACTGTTGAGTAAAAGGGACATCTTGACATCCATAGCTATTCTTCCACATTAAGAGTAAAATCTGCAAAAATTGAAAGACATTTCAGATATAGAAGTCACTAGTGAGGAATCCAACTTCCATTAGATTTGAGATAAGGCAGCAATCTAAAGTATTACTAAGTCTGATACTTCCACAAAGAGCAACCGTTCATCTGTAGGTCCGCTGAGCTCTGCCAGTTTTTGTGGGATGAGGTTCCGCTGACGCCTGATATCCAGGGCCTGAGCTGCTCTTTCCCAAGCTTTGGATTTGGGTCACCCAGCAGCAGTTTTTGGCCCTTCAGAGCATGTTGGGAAGATTAGTTACTCCACTTCATGTTAAAATGACTCTTAAAATCTTTGTATTTTAAATGGTGCAAATTTCTGTTTTAATTTTTGCGTTTTCCATGGTTTCAAGGAGTAGAGAAAAAACAGATTACATAGGTGTCATGAACTTACAGGTTTTTACATACTGGTAAAAATCGCTCCCTGAGCAAAGAAGAAATCACAGATGCAGTCATGGCAGAATACAACCAGTTGAACGCCATGATTCCTCAAATATGGTGGGATTTCCTTTTATTTTCTCTGCTCTGAGACTGAAAAATTACTGAAGCAATTGTTCAGCTTTAAATAGAAATGTGAAGGTCCTCAGGACATACTCAAAAACTAAGTAGTTCAGCATTTACCTGAATGATGTTAAGCACGTTTGCACCTCTAAGGCAGGATTAATTAAATTATGTGTGAAGCTGGGTCTACTGAGCACATCTTCTGTCTTTTCCATTCACCTGTTTCCCACCCCGCTTCCTCATCGTGGCACTGGCAAAGCGCACACCTCCAGCAGTCATCAAGCCCATCACAGTCTTTGTTTCCTCCAGCGCTGAAGAGCAGCCCCTGTGCCCCCACGTCTCACCTCTCCCATCATCCCCCGCCGTGGGGCTCCCGTCTTCGTGTGCCCTGTGGTGGCAAAGTGCAGCAGGGCAACCAGCCAGAAAGCAAGCAGGTACCTCACCAAGGAGCTCCACTTTACAGCTTGCTGGCATTAGCAGAAGGGATGTTTCTGCTTTTAGTCAAGCAATGCTAAAATCCCTGCTATTTCAGAGTATGCATGGTAATTTTGCTCACTAGGACCACAGGGGAGATCCTGCGACAGCCGAGACAAAATATCACTGCACAGCTGAAGTATGCATTTTTAAACAAATATTTGTCAGTAATTGAATATAGTGAATATATGTACGGATTCACACAGCCATTTTGGAAAGCCAGGGAGCAGAATCTATAGTGTGTGATTTGCAGGAAATTATAAACCAATCAGTCAGCATAATGAATTACAAGCAGTTATTTATGGAAGACAGTTCCTGGCTGTAAGTATGTAAGCTAGAACAGCTCACATGAACTGTTTGCCAAATAATTTTGAACAAGTAATTCCGCAAAATCTCTGCTCATCTGACTGTGTGATGTGCATAATTTATTATGCTCTATATAATTACATACTCATAAATGTTGCATTCTAATTTTTAATGCTAAGTAGCTTTTCGTGGATACAGGAAACAACTGTTTTGTACACAATTAGTATTCAGCACTAGTGAACTACTGACTCCTCATTTTACTACATAAGACACTGAACAGACAAACACCTTTCACCAGTGAGTTTTGTTAATGTTTGCCCTCATACATCATTGTCCTTTCCTAAAGAAATTCATCCCTGCCTAGTATGGTGTTCTCCAGCAGTAGACTTGTATTTCTTAGAACAAAATTGATGAAAGTAAAAGATACCTCGTACACACTCAACCAAGAACAATCTCTGCAGTGGCATTCTGGGAAATTGCTTCTAAAAGTAATTTTAGAAGGAACAGGATCTATGAGCTTGACTGTATTATTTGCAATGTTATACAAATATGAGAAATATGAAATCAAACCACCACCGCCACCTCCCGAAACAAACCTTAGGCACAGAAGGGATGGTAATATTAAAAATTAGGCACAAAGGCAGGAAAAGCAAATTAGTTCTGCATATTTTGGGGAAGAAGTGTTGGCTATATTGCTGCCATCCTGGAAGCTCTTTTGTGTGATCTAGGTTTCATCAGTACAGTGCCAAGCAGTATCCTGTGCAAGTACCAGCCTTAAACAGCAACTTTGTTTAGGAGTTGCATGTACAAAGAGCTGAAAAAGGTTCAAACGCCACACAGTTGCTATTAGGCTAAATAAACTATATGCTTTCAGGGCTCCTTAACAGAGTGGCTGTAGTCAACAACACCACCTTGAATACTGCAGGGCAAATTAGAAGGTCGTGTACTTCATCATGCGCTCCACTCATTCCTTCCTGGATGGAAAAAAAATGCCTGCTCAGAATCGGGTCTCCAAGAAAGGGCAAGATAATGACCTGCACTTTTCTGCTTCTGCTTAGCTTGTATCGGTTATAACTTAAAAGCTTACTCATACAATATGCAAGATATCCAAAACCACTGGGGCAGAAAAGGCAGAGAACCTTCTGCCAGCATCCATCTCCGCTTTTAACACTTGTCTGCTTTATAATACAGTTCCATCATCACGCCACGTCTAGCCCATAGTTTTAATATAGGTTAATTAGAGTACATTGGCAAGCACATTCAAAGAAATGTAGTTTTATATGTTAAATAGGTTAAAGCCCAGGAGCTAAAAATACTGTTTGGTAGACAGGAATGCAGTCAAACCATGTGAGAATATGGCTGGGAATCTGGCAAACTGGCACATTTTCCTACCACCACCCGCAACTTCTTTCACAAGGCTTGCTGTGTGATCACAAGGCTTTCCATTTAATGTTCTTAGGAGCACTCCTTGTAAATGTTTACGTGGCACAGACCTGTTGTGCAGACAAAGCGCCTGCAGGATAACATCAGTTAGCAGCATCTTCCCTGGGAGACACTACCTGTGTGCCAGGGTTGGATATGATGAAAAATGTTAGTTGTTGGCAAGGGCAAATAATAGGGTTGACTAAAATACAGTTACACATTAAACAAACAAAACAGGCCCAATCTCACAAGGAGGCCAAAGGCTTGTCTGGGCTTCTGGGCAACTCTAGGAATTTCATTCCTGTAGTATGACAGACTGATAGTAAACTGAAAATTTTCTCACAGTTACAAGCTTAGCGCTGACAAGAAGCATCTGGAATCAGGTTTCTGTGTTGTGTAAAACCGGCTCTGTCTTCCTCTGCTGCTGCATTTTGTTTGTAGCCTGAGCAAAGCATTGCCCCTGTCAGCATTACTCTTTCTTCTATTATTGTACCACAGAGCTTCAGATTTAATGTTGCTGTCTGTTCAGTGACCTCCTTTCTCATCGGGCTGAAGACATTTTTAACTGCAATTTAATTCATACTCTGGAGACTAATATTAAATGGTAATTATTTAGAAAGAGAAAGCATGTATTTAAATCACCCCCAACTTAAAAACCGAGAAACTTTCAGGGAAAGCAAACCTCAACATCATGTAGTAAACTGCAACAATGCTATCAAATCACACTACTGCGCTTTTCTGTAGTCGGTTGTTGCACACAGATCCAATCCCCAAAGCTCAGTGTTCTGCTCGCAGTACTGAGCGCTGCATTCAGAACAGAACCGACTGCTGACGGGCAAACCTAAAAACACTCATGACTCATGCTTTAGCTTCTTTCAACTTACCTTCTCAATGGAAATCAAACACACCTCTGATTCAACTGTATAAGCATTTTATTTAGGAATACATTGAGATCCAGACTTGAGAAGAAAATCCAGTTCTGTTGCACAATGAACTGAAAATCCTTTGCAAAGACTTCGCAAGAATGAAAAAAAAAAATGTATTACATATTATATGTATATATTT